AAACCATCTTTGAAAATATTGAAGCTTAGACGACCATAGCTCTCTTCTAAGTATTGTCTGCAACCTTCTTTACCAATCAAAATAAGCTGCTATATTACGCGTTCTACAAGAACACCTTTAATCTATTGCATGCAGTTTCTACTAACAATTCTTAATCAGTTTGCCATCCCTTTCATTCGCGAAGAAGAAGCCAGATATTTCAGGGAGATAGCCCTTTACTTTTGAGCACAGACCATCAATGTCATGGACTGTTGTAGGGAAAGGTTCGAAATATAAAACTTAAACAGAAGCGAGGAGAGGACACCTGGGTTAATGGAAGGCTAGGGCATCTATGGGAGAATGCAAAAGGAATAGAGGGTCAGAAATTTTATATTTCGTTCGCGGGGAACCTACACTAGTTTAGAGAGGCGTAGTTGTCCCATGTGACTGCCCTCTTTGAGCGATTCACAGAAGGAGACACATTCCACTAACCGAAAGTTTGTATTCGGAGAAAAACTAAAGTATTTTGTCATGGCATTGACGTAATGAACCAATTTCTATACCAAATAAAATAAAGGGTTTCCAAGCGTTTCACCTCCGCTATCTTCACCAGACTGTTGAATAATTGTGATCTCAAGTTCTACGACTGTAGTGCCCTACAGCGACACAGCGCCACAGCATTGTTGGAGTATTGCTTTTTCGCACTAAGTCGCAGTACTCCTGAGAACTTACAGTCTTCCGCGTTGTTCCACAAATGGTTATAGATCACTTAACGGTGCACCGCCGTGGTAGTACAGAGTTATCCGACTCGTTGATTGGCATCTCTCTAAATAATTTTTGATCTCAAAATAAAAAAGGGTATATTTTTTCGATAAAGAAAAATCCTAGGCGGCGAAGGCATCTAAATTCCAACCTTGTCTTTGGACCACCCTGCACATATACCAGTCCAATCCGAAATTCAAAGTTGTTTTATTCCGTTGCAAAGTTTTTTATTTATTTCTCATAAATATAATTTTTAAATCTAGTTATCTGTTTCAATTAGCTACATACATAAATATAATACTAAAATGTTTTAGTTTAGGAACTTTCTGACACAATATGGCTATAGGTGTGATTATTTTTTAACTTGTTTTCTCTTCCTTTTGCGTACAGTAGGTACCGCAGGTTTGAGAAAAAAAGAAGTTGTCAGGCGAACAACAAGTAATGCTTTCAGACCGTATGTCTCAATTGATAAATGCACTTAAAATAATCCATAAAAATTTGTTTGCAAGGTGATGTTATGTTTTGATCATATGAAAGGCGATGCGATTACCCAGCGAGTGATTATCGCAGCGCTGATGCCGACGACCCAAATAAGATGCGTACGCCACACAGGCGTTACAAATTCGCAAAGCGGTACCAAAGGTCACCAACGACCAGCGCGCATTCGGCACACAAAACAACACAGTATAACAATTCACAGCAGCATACATCTACCATAAACCCAAAAATTACGCATTAACCAAACAAAA